TAGGGGTTGGTATGAGTTTATGGTATGGTATGGTATGGTTTAGCAGGGTATGAGGACATCTCCTGCCACTGGTGGCTGGGGCTGAGCTCCCTCTCGATGTCCTGCAGGTCTGCATTGGGCCGCAAAGCCGCCTTCTCCACGCTGTCCATCCTGGTGGCCCTGCTGCCCCCCTCACGCCACTTCTTTCTTGGCAGGTGCCAAGCCAGTGAACAAGATGAAGATGGCCATGGTGAGCATGCCCATGGCCATGAAGGTCCTGCCTCTTGCCCCCTCTACAGGCAACACGGTAAGAGATGCCCATCGCTGCTTGGCGCTGACTGCTGCCCTCGGGGCTTGCTGCCAGCCCTCGCGCTCACGCTGCCCCTTTGCCTTTTCTCCACTTCTTTCTTGGCAGGTGCCAAGCCAGTGAACAAGATGAAGATGGCCATGGTGAGCATGCCCATGGCCATGAAGGTCCTGCCTCTTGCCCCCTCTACAGGCAACACGGTAAGAGATGCCCATCGCTGCTTGGCGCTGACTGCTGCCCTCGGGGCTTGCTGCCAGCCCTCGCGCTCACGCTGCCCCTTTGCCTTTTCTCTTGAGGTCATGGCCCCCACTAGCAACAGAACCGAGGACCAAGTGAAGCATGTGCTGCTGGTAAGGTTCCCCGCTCCCCCACTGACCCCGTAGCTGCCCCCTGTACTGCAGGAGACAATGGGACCCTCTGTCCAGCTTCAAGCTGGGTCTTGGCTGGGTCTGGGGTCTCTTGGGGTGCTTTTGAGAGCTCCTGGCCTCCGGCAATGTCCATCTGGCTGATACAAGCAGAGCTTCACCCCGACACACACCTTGTTTTTCTTTGCCCTGTCTCACCATGGTGGTCACTCCGCAGCAAGCAGACCCCAGGAAGAAGTTCCCGGAGCTGAAGGACAACCTGTTGGACAACCTGAAGAACCTGAAGAACACCATGACTGATACAGACTGGAAGGTCAGTGCTTGCTGACATCCTACTCTTCCCCTTCCAGGAGCACCCTGCTTTGTGGAGGGACTGGGGTGTCCCCACCTGGAAAAAACAAGTCCTGCTTTAGCCAGGCTTGGGTTACTCCCATCCCAAGTAAGGTCGTGGTGCTCATAACCTTCCTTGGCCCAAGCTGGAGCTTGTGGCTCGGCCACCCCTGTGCTGCACCCCCATGCCGGTTAACGTGCTGGTTGCCCTCATTGCAGTCCTTTGAATCCTGGATGCAGAAGTGGCTGCTGTTTGAAATGGCCAAGAACCCCAAGCAGGAGGAGCGGAAGACGATCCCGGCAGAAAAAGGTACCAGGGCCGGGGCTGCTGAGCTGGGGGAGGTCAGGACCGGCCCTTGGGGAGCAGCAACCCCCCAGGAGGTGCCAGCATGGAGCTTCCCAAAGGCAACCGACCCCTCTGTCCCCCAACCGGTCATGGACCTCAGCATTTCATGGGGACCCCCTGGCTGGTGGCCTTTAGGCCATCACAGAGCCGCTGCCCGCTGCCTGCAGGGCATTTGGGATGAGCAAATGGCTGAAAAGCCGGAAAGCACACCAAATCCTCAGCCCTTGGCGAGCCCAAGAGCTTTAGCAAGGTCACTGGGGTGGGGCTTGTTCACGTTTAATTTAACTGTTTCTGGATAAAAAGCTCCCGCCAAGGCTGCCGAGTGGCAGAAGGGGCCGGGGGGCTCATGGTGTCTCCCCCTTTTTTTTTTTATTGCCCTAGTGCAAACTAAGTGCCAGGCAGAGGCCAGTTCTGGGGGTGTCCGGCCGGGTCACTTCCGCCCGCAGTGCGATGAGAACGGCGACTACCTGCCCAAGCAGTGCAATGCCGCCACGGGCTACTGCTGGTGCTCCTACAAAAATGGCACCAGGATTGAGGGCACTGCCACTCGGGAAAAGCTGGACTGCCCTGGTAGGTCGGCGGGGAGGGGAAGGAGAAGAGGAACGAGCAGCGTGCATGGATGCTGCCCTCCGTTTTGCTTGCGGTTAGGGAAGAGGAGAGCTGCCAGGGAGAGGAGAGGGGGGTGTCCAAGCTGTAGAGCACCCCTCACCCATCTTTGGTGCCAGCATGTCAAGGATGGAGGGGACCTTGAAAACCCCGGGCACGCCGCCCTCCCCGGGTAGCTGCAGTGACAGCAGAGGCACACAGTCGAGGTTTTCCATGAGCCCCTCTTGCCCCGAAACCCGTGGCTCAGTGGGTGGGTGCAGGCTCTCCCCTGCTGCCTTCAGAGGGGTGGGGGCGATGGGCAGCCCCAGGGGTCCAGCACCCACATCCTGCCCTTCCTCCGCAGATGCCACCGCCATGGAGCCGGAGGACATGATCTTCTCCGGGGTGGACATGCTCAAGCTGGGTGCAGAGAAAGGTGAGAGGCTGGGGGGGGTCACAGGCCCAGGCACCACGGCAGCACA